AAATATTCACCATATCCTTCAGGCGTGGGAGAGTTTACAGAACAAAGAACGGATTGTAGAACAGATGTATTCGACCAGACTCCTATTCTCATGGCCCACAATGGCGCACTTCCACCATTAATCAATATTGTAGACATTTCAAAAGCGTTTACAGTCAAAGATGTTTTTATGGTGACCGGAAATATTTTTTTTATGTTTAGCTTCTGTCATTTTGATTGACATCCACATGCACAAATATTTTTTTCTAACAAGTTAGGCAATTACAATGTTCATTAAATAAGCACCAGAGCCAGAGGACATACAGAACATCATCACCATCCCCGAGTCTTCCGATTACCTAATGCATCCTGCTCAGACCAGTGGTGGTTCCAGTGGGGTGGGGGCGATGGGCGCAATGAGATTCCGAAAATTCGTATATTTTTTATATTCATTTATGTTCACCGATCAATATTGTTTTGATAAATCGATAATTCTCTGCGAAAACAATAATATATGACGTTATATAATATATTACCAGAGATTATAAATTGAATGTTTTATTTTCATGTTAGGTCTTTTTAAAGAGCTTGACATTTGGGAACAGCCCCTACTCCCTTTGGCAAAGTTTCTAGATCCTCTTCTGGCTCCGACACATGAACAGATTTCATAACGCCATCTCCGTAGTGGTCATTCTCTTGGAGGTGTTGTAAACACTTAACAGTCAACACTGTTTCTAATTTGCATTGATTTGCCAATGTGCTCCTCCTGTCTCTTCAAGTAATTCCAAACATGCACGCTTCAGACACGCATGGTTATATAAACTTTTGCGAAGATCATAGAGAACTGTATGATGTGCAGTGTAGGGACAAACCAACCACGTGAGAAAACTGGATTTAGAAAAAGTTTTTCCACAGTGGACCACATACCGACAATCAATTTTTCGGATAAAACACAAATGGGTGTCAAGATACCATGGAAGCAGTTATCAAAGCTCTCAGAAACCTGAATAATACAAAGACGGCCTTGGACGGGACACAACACAAGCAGGGACGAGATTACTAACGGAAGGGAAGCCAAAGGAGACAACGTGTTTGAGAGAACACCGAGAGAACGGTGACTACAGAAGGCATATTCAAGCGCTCGTAGAAATAATACATTCCCAAGCCCATTTAAATGCTGGGACATTACTCTCCAACAGGCAGGTGGTGCTGTCAAAGCAGTCGTAAATTTGGCCAAGTTTTATCCACACAACACTTTTATTTATTGCCTGTGACGGATGGGGCAGGGTTTACTACACATTTGTATGCAATATAACCAAAAATAAACTAATTACGACTCAATATTGGTTGTGAAAACCTATGCATAAATTTAGCATGACTATTTACAAAGGTGCAAGAGTTGCCCTGATATTACATAAAGTAACAAACTACAAAACATAAGTCCGTATAGAATATACAAGGGAAACATACAGTGAAGTAAGCTTTTATTTTCATCTCATATAGCGTAATGATTCAGCCTTTTCCATATCTTCTGCAGTAATCCCTCGCTAACCACGAATTTACTGACCACGAGACGCGAGCCACATCTGGGTCTCTCAGCTGCCCCCAGTCCTCTTCTCCACGTTGCTCTACCTCCGCGATCGGTCAGACTCACGCTCTGTCTCACGAAAAAAAATTATGGTTTTGATTTGCGTATTACCGTTTTGTGCTTAAATATCACATACCGTACTAATATTGCATGCCACTCAGTGATATAATTTACCCCCGTAAATATGTTGTTTTTAATAAATTAATATACATTTCAAGTATAGCCCCTAAGCGTATGAGCAAGAGTGTTGGTGATGGAAGTGCCTCATCATCATCATCAAAGGTAAATGCGATTTTATTTGCTGTACTTTTCTTAATTAAACGTGTCTTAAATGTCACTGAAATTATCTTTATTTAGTGTGCTTTGTTCATTTGTTAATTTTATTGAACGTAAAAAACATTTATACGGGATTTCATAGGTTCACTCGCGAACTCGGTCCTCCTAACCCTCTTTTCCCCCATACGGTATTTAAGCTTACCAATCATGAATTTACCAACCTGAGGGTTTGCTAGGAACCTAACCCTCGCAGTTGGCAAGGGATCACTGTACACAGCGGCTGTCAAAAAATGGAAAAACAAGAACTGCACGCGCTTGCCAACTGGTAAACAAGGCGAGTCAGATCACCGAGGAAGTGGCCATAACTCGGAGGCATTTTTTAAAATATAAATAATTTGATATCCTAAGCTGCCAAAGAAAAGGGTTGCTCACGAGGTCACATCTTAATTTCCATAGCATATTTTTAAAAATTTTAATTGTGCGAGGAAACAGCAATACACGTTGTCGAGGACATGTCGTCATGCAACTGCGCTTCGAATCTATGACGAATTAACGCTGGATGAAGGCCCCCCCACACCATTTCGGTCATGGCTGTTTTACTGTACTTCAATACACTCGTCAGTGTGTGTTGGTGAAGAGGAGGGGAGGCGTTGGGCAGGACTGATTCAGATATCACTAATTACTGACGTCAGCCATGCTCTGGGAATCTGTCCATCTTCCTGTGACATTTAAAGTCCTGGTGTTTGCCAGTTGGGTAATAATGCACCACTCAATGCAGTTTCTCAAAGCATGCAATTCTATTCTATTTCCTTTATTGTCAGATATTCTCCTTTCCATTATATGTCCCGTCGGTGTTTTTTTTACCTCACAGGTGGCAACCCAGCGACCATGGCTGGGAATGAACCTCGGATCTCTGGGTTTGGAGCACAGAGCATGAAGCATTGCACAGACCTACACCCCTTTCGATGACATGGATATATTCATTGTATGGAAAATTATAAACAATTTTTGAGGAGAAACATTAATCAAATCCTCACTTCACTCTTGATGCCTTGCTCAGTGGATATCTACGGGGCCACCATAACCCATACATGCAGACAGGGGGCTTTTGTGACAAGCTAAGTGCTCATAAATCATCCCAAAACAAACAAACCTTCCTATATCAAAAGCTGCTTCTTTTGAAGTAAGAGGGTAAACACAGCCTTGCTGAACCATCTTGCCCCAAAAGTAGTTTACGAATGTCTAGTAAACAACTGTATTTTAGAAATATACGACCTATCTTCTCTGCAGCTAAGAAAATAACAAATGATGATGCTAACGTTTTTGCCAAGGGACAAATTTTTCAAAATTAGGTCAGCTGACTGCCAAATTAATTGTGTGTCATGCTAGGCCACTTTAACAGGGACTATAATAGTGCACCTAGCCTAGCGCGATGACCACAGGCAAATGACTTCCACTTATTCGTGAATTGTGGCTATTGTTATTGTGGCTCTCCGATGTGTTTTCGGGCTGAACCACGTTGTTGTTCGCTAGGCTGTCTGACGTTTAGTGTTGCTTCCTCGTTGAACTTGATTTAAGTTATTCCTATTGTTATTTTGGTGACCCAGGTTACTCTTTCCAACTAAGACTATTCGTGTCTTTTGGGTTCTCACCACCTGGTTAAACAAACTTGAACTTTTCCTTGCTGGTAGTTTCTTCAGGAGCTAAGTTATTCAGTTTCGAACATATCAGAAAGCTATGCAGCACAAACCACGGTTCAGATGTTGTGTCGAGAGAATTGGTTAACACCAAGCACATGCCAACCATTTATCTGCAACATACTCTCATTCTTTGGCGTGTGACCCACTGTGGACATATGATCTGCAAGATATATGGATTTCCCACAATCTAAGCCACCACTCGCAACACGTTGGTTAATTAACTGTAACATACCATTTTGCTGCTGGGTTGAGCAGTAGAATGCATGGTCAGCGCATTACTCTATGAGCCCAATGAGCGAAGTTTGATATTCTGCCACACGACTAACACCAGTGTCAAGCAGAGGTGTGGACTCGAGTCATGTGACTTGGACTCGAGTCAGACTCGAGTCATGAATTTGATGACTTCAGACTCGACTTGGACTTGCATAACAATGACTTTGTCCCACCTCTGAGGTGTGGACTCGAGTCATGTGACTTGGACTCGAGTCAGACTCGAGTCATGAATTTGATGACTTCAGACTCGACTTGGACTTGCATAACAATGACTTTGTCCCACCTCTGAGGTGTGGACTCGAGTCATGTGACTTGGACTCGAGTCAGACTCGAGTCATGAATTTGATGACTTCAGACTCGACTTGGACTTGCATAACAATGACTTTGTCCCACCTCTGAGGTGTGGACTCGAGTCATGTGACTTGGACTCGAGTCAGACTCGAGTCATGAATTTGATGACTTCAGACTCGACTTGGACTTGCATAACAATGACTTTGTCCCACCTCTGAGGTGTGGACTCGAGTCATGTGACTTGGACTCGAGTCAGACTCGAGTCATGAATTTGATGACTTCAGACTCGACTTGGACTTGCATAACAATGACTTTGTCCCACCTCTGGTGTCAAGTAATATCTGAACTGGTTTAAGGCACCCCATTCACTAACTTACGCTGATCAGCATGGTGAAGTTTGCTCAAACAACCTCCAAAACCAAACATGTATGTGGGAAGGCCTTCCTCCATCTATCCAGCAGTGGATTGAATAAAGGGCTGTTTTACATTACTTTACTTGTGTTACCTCTGGGTGGAGGCAGGGAAGCAATGGTGCAAGCTATTAACATAGTCACAGCTCCCAGTCCTCATTTCTCGTTTTTTGTTTCCTGTACGATCTTTAACGCCACTCTCTCCGGATTCTGAAACGAGAATTTGAGGTTGAGAGCAGAGCGCTGGGCGCAGCTGACTGTGTTTACACGTGCTACAGGTTTGTTTAGACAGGCACTATACGAGTGCTGTCAAACGGCTAAAGCTACGCTATTCATTTTGGGTGGACATGTATTGTGGGGTCAGGCTCTTGAGCAGCACGGGTCAGTAGAATAACCGACTGCGTGAAATGGTACAACACCGCGGTTGAGCTCCCACCGTAATATGGAGAGATGCACAGACGAACAGATTAATTTGGCGCAGCAGTTTACTGTATATCAATAATACCAATAAGTACACTTTACAAATACAATGTATTGTATGCAATAAATAAAAACCGATTCATATCAAAAAGCAAAAATAAAATATTGATATATACAAAGCATATATTTCTATCTCTGATAGGTTAAAACACATACATCAAAGTCCTAATGAAAAGGAGTACAGAACAGCTCCCTTTGATATGTGTGTATGAGACATACATAGAAGTGACAGCCAACACATGAATGATGATGAGGTAGGGAATAAGCCAATACAAAACACAAACAGATGAGTGCGAGAGGGTTATTAAACATCGTAAAGATGTAAATGTTTGTAAGGAACATACAGTACTGTGCATACATAACACATCACCAGGCCGGGCGGCATTGTGCAGGTTCGTAACAAAAAGGATGCAATTGAAATCCCAGTCAGTGGCTGATTGAACAAATCCTTACTCTGTGGTCGACAGTGATTGTTTTCTGCAAATAATGGGACATTTCCATGTCTGCCTCATGGCCTTTCACTGAAGACGGGTGCTGCCAAAATGCGAAAATAAGGACATAGACACCCTGACTTTGACTTAGAATATATACAGATATACGCATACATTCACACATGGGTGGAGTAATATATAAATAATATGTACTCCAAAATAAATACATACATTCTTAAATACATTTATGGATAACAACAGCTGTCATTCACGACTAAGTGGCGGTGACGTTACCACATCGCTTGTGCCAGGTTAGGTGCTCTTTGAGGCCATGTAACGTGTCAAAGGCTTTCTGGAAGGAGGTCAGGAGACAGACCCAAGTGTTACGGGTGAAATAAGATATCTAGCATATTCACCACCTGTGCTCCACACTGCGCCAACTTGTTTAGCTTCCCAGCGCTCTGCTTGTTGTTCTGAACGTCGCACTTGCACCGTCATTTGTAACTGGAGGGCAGCTGCCTCCAATTGTCCACTAGCATCTTTATCCAGCCTCCTCCACACAGTCCGATCTTGGCATCGCTGCTACCATCAACGGCACCTATGTCAATATGTATATATGCACAAATACATACATGGGCCCAACCACACAAAATAATCCCCCATTTAGCACATCGGAGACCGGCACGGCACATCAGAAGTGGGTGAGGCCTGCACCACGCTTGGCCGGTTTTGTCCTCCCAATGTTGATGTTGACACACTGCAATAGGTACTCGGTTATCGTTGAGTCAACCTAGGGGAGGCCCAGAACCCGCTCAACTAATTTCCACTGAAGCTAGCTTTAGCCGGGAATTGAATTTAGGTTGTCGGGTTCGTAGTGTAGTGTTCTCACTACGACGTCACCACTCAAAGACAAAGATTCACCCTCTAGCCGTAACAGACTGTTGGGGCAAGTGCTGTTAAAGAGCACCTATGTATGCCAACGCAGCGCATAATGGTGTGGCCAGCACCACGCCTGGTTGCCTTTGTCTCTCCAATGTTTATATATACACACCAGGTACAGATTTAAGGAATGAATTGATCTAGGGGATGCCCAGGACCGGTTCAGATATTCATCAGCGAGGTAATCTGTGAACTTGAATTGAATTCAGGTCATCGGGTTTGTAGCGCAGTGCGCTCACCAATACACTTCTGCTCCCCACTAATACACAGAAGTGACAGTCAAATACACACACACACACGTACTCGACACAGCCACGCTAACCCTGATCTAATCACACGCACTACAGGTTTAATCTGCACCCTCCATCTCCTCCACACACTGCTGGGCACCACTGCTGTTGGTGGATGGCGTTGATCTGGCCTTCGCGCTGTCCTCAAGCTGGCCTCGACAGAAAGGGCAGCACGAACCCCACGGCATTGCAGAGGAAGAGGAGAAGGTGGTGGCAGCGGTGGCGTCCGCAACATCAGGTGGTGCAGAGGCAGTGGATGGCACCACCGGGCGGGCACAACGGCGGATGCCGCACGAGAGCAGACGAAGCAACGACCGCTTGTACCTCCGGCGGCCTGAGATGAGGATGAGTGGCACCAGTGCCGAGGCCGTGTACGCCAGGCTCATGAGGATGATGAGCACCTCGGTGTGACGCTCCACGCCCTCCTCCTTGCCAGACCTAAAAGGTCAAGTCCAGTTTATTTGTTTAACCAGGTAAGAGCTCAAGAGACCAAGATAGTCTCATTTGCAAGTGACCTGGATCACCAAAACGACAAAAGCTAAATAAATACATCCCACTACATGATTGAAACAGATAGAAATAAGTGCAAAAATAACTGTGTCACATGGGAAATATTGTACAAACAAATGTAAGTAAAATTAAAATTCCCTGTAGCGTGAGTCAATTCAAGTGAAGTCCTGCAATCGCTTGCTTAACCCACTGGTGGCAGAGGGTTTCCACAAGGGTGATTTCAAGAGAACCCCTCTAAGGGGTGATTGGCCTACTCTTCCACGAATAACTTCCTGGAAGATGTGGGAGTATCAACAGACAGTATCTCATCCCAACACTCGCAACCTGCTAATCAACTCATTGTCCTAAACCCATTTTGCTAAAATTATGCAGTTTTCAGCAACCTGTGATTAAACTAGGCATTCAAGTCTAGCGAGCTGATGACGATAGCCTGGTCATACATATGTAGGCCATTGTATTAAATATGGATCTTCACTTGCAATTGTGAACATTAAAATATTAGTTTGACTGCCATACGATGAACATATATCTTTGCTAGGGTGGCTGGAAAAATACAGCAGCTGTCGTGTTTAGTTTCCCAAGTAAAAAATACGTGGTCACATCTGGCTGTATAAAGGACATACAGTATAAGGCAAACACAACTCAACAAGAGGCTTGTATTGACGGTTGTGTATAAACATATCCTGAAAACACTAAATCACCACTGCTATTAACAGCTAAAACGTTAGACTTAAAAAAAACCACAAGATAATGTCTCTGTCACTGACCCTCCTCTATACTCTGAATAGAAGGTATTTTCCCATGATATTCAAAGTAATAATAGTTACTGCGTTATGTAGGGTTGTCTACACAAATGTACAAAGAACTGGGGTATCATTGTAAAATGAATACAGTATCTCCCAATGCCCGAAGAGGGGAGAGCTACGTGTAACAGGATTGTCATGAGTGGTGTATTATTATGTAACTGACAACATCAGACACTTTTAATGTATTAGGAAGACTTCGAAACTTTGACCTCAAACATAGACGTGACCTCATACATAGGATGAGCCTGGGAAATTCAGGAGATGGGGCAACCTTAGTTTTACATGCCAAACGAGAGTGGTGCAACACTCATTTTAAATAAGGCTTCTGAGTCAGTCGTGGGAATTCTATATTCCTATGATGAGGGCTGACATAATCCACTGGACAGCCATTGCTGACATGATACCCATTTTTTTACCACAGCGATAACTGGCTAGGCCAATCCCTAACCAATATTTAACTTTGCAATGCTCATATTGTGAGCTGAGCACTGTCAACCACAATGCAACCAAAAACTGAACCCGAAACATTCGCAAATTATGAAAGGTGAAATAATCTTATCCAGCCCTGTTATCTGCTACTCCTCGTGTCAACTCTGACATTTATTCATACATCCCCAGCTCCACCTCTGATCTCGAATCCTGATGGGGTTCAACAATGATGACGTTATCCTGCACTATTTAAGACCGGAAGCAGGTGGATGGCTTCACTATTCAGGCAAATCGCCCGAAGATGCTGGATGTAATTTCCAGCGAAACGTCGCACTACTCAAATTGTAATTGTTGTGGATCTACTCTTCGACACACCGGTGGGCTAAAGTAGTGAACTATTTGTCTTTTGTCAACGTGACACATTTTTTACTGATTGGCCATGTCGGGTGGTGGAGGGTTGCGACACATTTATAAATAACTCGATCTAACCCAAAAAACCATTATGATGAATAATACTGGTCTCGAAAGCCTACATGTTAATCTGACATTTATTGTTACGTGCGGATTGATTCCATCATCTGTACTTTTCACGGATAACAACAATCGCCTGGATATGGACTCAAGGAAGTGCAAAATTAATGCTATTATCCGTGTGTTTTGTTCTGGATAAGAGGAGAGATCTAGAAATGGCTGCAGATTTATCCCATTATCCACATTTATCTTTGTGCGAGTCTCTCTGAGTCGACCACCCAGACTAATATGTCCATAATATGTCCACGCACACCACATCCCATTATAGAGGTGTTTTGGGTTAGATCGCGTAATATAAAAGTTTCATTAAACCGGCCACCATCCGACACAGCCAATTAGTAAGGTTTGTAACATAAACAAAACATGCCAATTCGTTACTAGTTCAGCACACCGTTGTGCTTGGAGAGTTAACCCACAACATTAACAGCTCGAGGGGGAAAAAATCCCATTGTCGTTTGGTAATTTAATCTCTGACCTTGCACTCAGGCTCATGAAGAAGGAAGTCTGCACGAACACCAGGTAGGGCAGCCAGCATGCGCAGAACGCAGTCGAGGACAACACGAGGCTGCGAATCTGTCGCGCCCGCATACGCCGCGCGCCCTCGGGCAGCTGCCCCGCGTTGGCCGAGCGCTGCAGGCGGCCGATGTTGCGGACGTGGTGCCGAGCGATGCACAGGACCCGGGCCGACAGGACCGCCATGGCCAGCACGCCAGGCACGATGAGCCCGTATATCTCCAGGTAGATGTAGGCGGGCGGGAAATGAAGCTTGAAGCAGCATATGTGCTCGCTGCCATTCCCGGGTGGCCAGTTGTTCCAGCCCAGGGCCGGGAGAGAAGCGTACGTTAGTGGCACCACCCAAGCCGTGACGATCAGCAGTGGGCAGAGCCTGGCATGCCACGCACAGAGATTTGCAGTGGGTTTGAGAGGGCAGTGCGCAGCCATGGTGTCCAGTGCTTTGTGGGTCAATCTGCCGAACTTGTGTTTTTGTTAAAATGTATTGTTTACTGGACAAATAGATTATAGCATAGGGCTTGCGGGCAGTGGAGGGCAGTGCAGCAAAATTAAGTGTTGTACGATACATCTATGCTTGTACGTCTATGCCCCCCGCCTTCAACTAACACTGACCAGCGTATAGCATCCACACTTTTGACATGACGTGGGGCTGAGGGCCTCTCCATGCCGTGTTTATGTACAAGGTGATTATGTTGGAAGTTCTACAAATGAGGTAATATCAAAATAAAAATTTCCAACTCATACTAATAATGGGGTGTACTTTTTGCATCGTTTTTGTGCTGTTTTTAGAAAATGTGGCATAAGTAAATCTTTCACGCACACGGACCCGAGCGTGGCACGGCCCATTCGGTACACAGGCCTCGCTGACGCACAGGTCATTATGTGTGTGCTGATGAATGATGATTATAATAATTACTATTATAATGATGGTCACCACTATAATGACAAGGCTGATCATGGTGACAACCATGCTGACCACATGATCATCATCACGCTGATCGTCACACACCTGCGCATGCGGGAGATTCTATTGGGCATGATATGGTGATCATGATTGTCATAATGATGAAAATCTAGACCGTGTTGACTATAATGATGTGTTATGCTGACAACTCCATAGGTTACACATAAGAATGCCGTTTCGCTCATGATGATAATTAATAATCATGACGAATATTGTTAATACAGATGACAGAGAGATCAGAGCGCTTTTGGAAAGCAAAACTTGGTCATGAAAAGTAGCATATCGATACAGCAAAATAATAAATTATTAAATCAGTGCGTACTACCTGAACACGGTTCAGAAACGTGGTTATTAACAAGGGAGCAACAACTAAAAAGTGCAAAGCATGGGAAGCATGCTTGGAATCGCAGGTCGCGCTTCCAAAAGCAGCAATGTTTCATGAGTTTCAATGGATTGATTTAATCTTCCGGTTAAAAATGAACGCATGGATTAGAGAACATGTGTCGTATAATCGCATTATTCAGTCCATTCAGGAAAGTAAGTGGGCTTGGACGGGACACGCCGCGAGCAGGCAAGATAGTACATGGCTGATAGCAAGGCCGTAATTATAATATATATTGGGGGGGACACATCCCCCCCAATATTCAAATATGCTCAAAACGTTCGCCCCAATATATTGCTATAAAATAGATTTCTGTTTATATGATTGTGGTTATGGTTGTACTTTATACATCCCTAATCTCTGCCATTACATACAATGAAACAAGAATAGGTAAAAAAGAAAAAAACAGAGCAATGTAATACAATACACTCTTAGACATTATTGTAAAAAAATAAATAAAAGCCCATCCTACGTGTTATTGAATTTTTTAATATTTTAGGCAGGAAATTCGTTTTCAAATTTAGATTTTTTTTTCTGGAAGGGGACCCCAGACCCCCTGGAAGATTTTGTCCCCCCCAATGTTGACTCCATGGCTACGGCCTTGGCTGATAGTACAATAATGAAGGTAGTGGCAATGATTGGAACACATCCGAGAGTACGACCACCAGGGAAACAGCTGTGAATTAATCTCCTGTGATAGGTGGACTATTATATCGCAGGATCGTGAGAGATGGCGGCGGTTTGGATAAGCCTTCATCCAGCAGTGAATTGTCCATCGCTGATAATGATCATGATCACAAGAAGAACGATGATGATCACGCTGATGTAGCTACTACTGATAATGATGATGACAGTGATGATGCAAATCACAATGGGCATGGCAATAATGCTAAATTACCCAAAAATTGCTCAAATTAAATTTATATGCAGCAATCATTGCTCCCCACTAAGATAACGTGGCATGACCATTATCGAAAAAGTGTTATGAGATTTCGATTTAAAGCTTTCGTGACTGCAGGGATTCATCTTCTTGGTTCTTTCGGTAAAGTCACGTACAAGGGAAAATATAAAATAATAAAAATAAAACATAATAAAATAATTCTCACGACGTTTCGACCACAACGCAAGCAGCCGTCCTCAGGTGAAGACCAGGTCTGTCGGGGAGACAGCGTCTGAATGAAACACCACCACGCTTGGAGCGTATATTTAAGCTGGGTTGGAAGGGGAAAAGCGCCTTGACAAACGAATTTGCATATCAAGAGGAATTTAGCATATTTATGGGAAATGCAGATATGTGATTAGTACTACTTGTGAAATGCGTAGGAGGTGGGTTTAAAAGTCATATTATGCCCGTGTATTATGCAGGATTAGCAGCATCAAAGGGAGAGGATAGGGGTAGCATTAATAAAGGGAAGGAATGTTAATAGTATGTAGCTGCAGTAACTAAACAACCATGTAAAAAACTAAAGTATAAACTGCATAGTATCATCAGTATACTAAATATACTCTCCAATAAGCTGAGCTACTAACAGTAAGTAATACATTACAATTCTATGTCGCAAAAACTTTTTTCCCTTACATCACACGGGTCTACCCCGTACTATATACTGCCATAGACAAACCCAACATTAAATTATATACTGTATTACTATACACCACCTTATACCTTAGAATAATACATAGTGTAATATTACACTATGTATTATTCTATCCACCCTACTGTATATCACACTGCTGTATATTCACTATACAATTACAATACTATATATTACCTTATACATTGTATTAAACATTACAATTTTATACTATTTATTATTATACAATCTGCTATACACTATACCATTGACCGTCGCGTGAAAGATACTAAGAAGAACCAACAAAATATGTCAATGGGAGAGTGGTTGTAGGAGACTTGCAGCGGAGCAAAGAATCCATTCCCTGATATATATTCAATGCCAGTGAGTGGACTGCGGTCTGAAGGTCACCGTAAACGTGAACACAATCAATTAAGTTCCGAAATGGTTTATTACGTCCTTCCAATGATTGCTGAGCCAGAATCCATCTTCTCGGTTGAAATTGTCTCTGTGTTTGTATATGTGGATCGCCTCATGAACGAATCTCTCATGGTAGCCAGATGGCTTGCAGAGAACCTCTGTCTTGGAGAAGTCAATGTCATGTGAGCCCACTGAATCGTAACAGTGATCTGCCACGGCTGAGGTGTTTGTCCTAGCGTGTTTCAGGTCTGCTTTATGTTCACAGATGCGGTCCGAGACATGTCGTTTGGTTTCTCCAATGTAACTGCTACCACAGAGGCAACTTAGTTTGTAGACGCCAGGGTACTGTATGTCTGTGTAGGGGTTATTACGGGGAGAAAAGGCGGACGGGAAACACAAGGGTGTCTGCACCCACACACACGGGTGGCTACACCTACGTCCGCATCCGTTAACCACTGGGGGGCCATGGGGGCTCTGTGATCCCCCATAACCCTGCCCCTCCGAGGGGATCCCTATAAAAGGCGGGGAGCCAGAGAGCTCGTGGCCAGTTTCAAGAAGAAGCTTACCAGTTAAGTCTGAAGACCGGCAGAATATGCCCTGGGACTCCCCTGTCTCGCTGCCCTTGTCAGGGCCGAGCTGGGTAAGCCAGCGGCGCGGCCCAAGAGCTTCCGGACCTCTGCTCTTGTAAGGGCAAGGCCGGCTTAGCTGGGTGCCGGGATCCGTGCTTACCAGGGTCGGATCAGACAGCCTCCCGTAGCCCATTAGAGGAGGACTGGGAACAGGACAGGGGAATTAGTACTAGAGGTGGTTTCCCAGCTAGTACAGGTGAAGGGGCCGTTACCCCTTCAACTATTGTATCTGTCCTTGAGTTAATAAAAGAGTGTGCCTCGACCCTGTCGTCAGTCTCCCTGGAACTCACTACATCTGGAACCACATCTTTTACAGACGGGACCAGATCACGGATTTTATGTACTGTGTTGAATCGGACCTGGATCTTGTGTTTAATCAGGATTTTGGAGATATTTTTGTGACCCCAGCAATGTAGGGTAAGGTAATGGTTTTGAAAGGCTCCTCAACAGGATCCTTCTTGATGGTTGGAGTGATGGCTTTGCGGATTGTGTAGTCGGAGTGACCATTAGCCTTAAGAGCTTGGCGTACGTGTTTGAGTTCACTGGCAATGTGTTCCTGGTCGGAGATGCATTGGGCTCTATGGTATAGAGTCTTGATGAGGGAATTTTTCTGGGATGGATGGTGGTGGGAATCCGGTTTTAAGTAAGCATCCGTATGGGTGGCTTTCTTGTAGACAGAGTGGCTCATTGAGCCATCAGGTCTCCTTTTAATTAGGACATCCAAAAAGGGTAGCTTGCCATCTTTTTCGACTTCCATGGTGAATCTGATGGCTGGGTGTATGGAATTGATGTGGTCGAGGAATTGGTCTAGAGCAGGCCGGCCATGTGGCCAGATGACAAAAGTGTCATCTACGTACCTCTTCCATAAGGTCGGGCGTAGAGTGGCAGTCTGGATGGCGTCAGTCTCAAATTTCTCCATCAACACGTTGGCTACAGCCGGAGATAGGGGGGAGCCCATTGGGATGCCCTCAGTTAGTTTGTAGAAAGTTCCATTCCAGGTGAAATATGTATTGGTTAAGCAGTGTCTCACCAGGGGGGGTACCCCAGTATTCAGTTCTTGATGAACCAAGTTCCTGTACCTGACACCATCGCAAACATTGAAGACTGTATTATTCTAAGGTATAGGGTGGTGTATAGTAATACAGTATATAATTTAATGTTGGGTTTGTCTATGGCAGTATATAGTACGGTAGACCCGTCTTATGTAAGGGAAAAAAAGTTTAGCTGGAAGCATATTATATTTTTTGCGACATAGAATTGTAATGTATTACTTACTGTTCATAGCTCAGCTTATTTGAGAGTATATTTAGTATACTGATGATACTATGTAGTTTATACTTTAGTTTTTTACGTGGTTGTTTAGTTACTGCAGCTACATACTATTAACATTCCTTCCCTTTATTA